CGCACTGGGTCTGTCCTGTCACTCAGTTATCTACCTAGTCTCGCTTTGTGGCCCCCCCCTCATCCGGCCATCATTGCCAGGTAACAGCCTCATTATTCACCTTGGTTGTGTTCTGCGAAGTCACTGCAAATGCAGAATTAGTGGAAGTGGAGCCATTCCTCCTAGGAGAAATAAAGGGTCAGGTCCCTTGAGCCTCTGGTCACATTTTCATCAGTGAGTCGGTGTACTTTCTGTTTGACGACACCTTATTTAATATGTTCTGTGACTTCGTTAATACTGAACTCACGGCCAGCAGCCCCGTAACTCATGCCTGCACACAGCGCCCGTCACACACACGTCCTCTCCGTGAGGCCCATCCCGGCCTCCCGTGCTGCGGACCCTAGATGGCACTTCAGCGCTCCTCTCAGGAGCTGTTTTCACCAGCAGAATCACCAACAAAAAGCACAACAGTGTGAAAACCCATGGAACTAAATAGTCTGCCAAAAGGACACTTGTCTGCAGTGTGAGCGCTGAGACACAGCGGTGGTGTGGCCTTGTTTCCGCCCCAGGCAGCTGTGCACGCGGGTGTCCCTCACATGCTGCTCTGCACATGTCCGTAAGTGACGACAGTGCTATGAGTGTTGGTTCTGGGGTGACAAATAAATGTCAGCGGAGGGGCCAGTTCACGAATAATGGAGGCCGTTGCCAGGACCCATAACCTCGTCCTGACGGCCAGCACAGGCGCCCCTCCCGTGTGCCTGCCCAGTGTGTCCTGGCCTCCCGCCTCTGTCCCTACATTCTTTCTTCCTGCCTCTGTTCAGCCTTTTCTGAACTGCTTTAGAGCCACCTTTGGCCCAGTGATTTGGATTCCCTTTAGACTTGAGTGTCCCTTGAATGAGACTCTAACCTTGCATCCTCAAGGCTTCTGTCGCACAGTCGTCTTGGAGACAGGACTGGTGCTCCTGTGGGCTCCTTCAGTTAACTGTGTCCTCTCACAGTGAGTCTCAAGTTAATTGATGCTAACATCCAACTTACCCCTGTCAGTCATTGCAGGGTTTCAGAATCACTGTCATCTCTACAGAACGTGGAAGCTCACATTCTCAGCCACCAATTATTCAACTCTAAAATGTTCTCTTTTATTTTCCTAATAATTTTGCACGAGACAGTGCCCTTTGTTACCCTATTGCTAATGTATGGTTTCTTTTTCAATCTTTGTCTTCCTCCATGTATTGTCCCCCATTCCAGGCACCTATCAATGCCCAGATGCTGGCCCAAAGACAGAGGGAAATCCTGAACCAGCATCTTCGACAGAGACAAATGCATCAGCAGCAGCAGCAAGTTCAGCAACGAACTTTGATGATGAGAGGACAGGGGTTGAACATGACGCCAAGCGTGGTGGCTCCTAGTGGTGTGCCAGCAACTCTGAGCAACCCCCGGATCCCCCAGGCAAATGCACAGCAGTTTCCATTCCCTCCGAACTACGGTACTGGACCTACACCCCCACCACCTTTCACCAGTCCTTTCTCCCCAGTGTCCCCCAGTCCTGGGTCACAGCTCCTCTCTCACAGCTCTTTGCATGGCTCCCAGATGAACCTGGCTAACCAGGGGATGCTAGGAAACCTGGGAGGACAGTTGGGGCCCATCAGGAGCCCCCAGGTCCAGCACGGTACCTTCCAGTCTCTCAGCTCAGGTACCACCTTTTCTCTGAGTGCGGGTCTTACTGTAAGAATGACCGAAGCAGGTGTGCATGCGTACAGTGCATCTACCACTCCTGCGTGTGAGAGTGTGTGTGTGTGCCCGTGCACATGCAAAGGCATATGTTTGTCAGTATCTGTAAATACAGGTACGTGTGCATTTATTTGTATTTGAAAACCTCTTGAGTCTGACTCAAACAAATCAATAGATACATACAGAATGTTGAAAGCTACATCATTGTAAGTATTACAGACGCTGTACAACTTTTGAAAAATGAAGACTTGCGATATTATACCAGGTCTTTAATGAATTGATAATCGTGAGAAGTGTGCACAAAACCCGCAGCGGGCGGCCTCTTAGTTTCCATCGTATTGATTTGTTGTCTAATGTCAGTCTTCAGAGACGAGCGTGCAAAGTGTGTGGTGTCATAAACATGAATATTTGTGTGCACGTCATACTCAATTAATGGTTGAATTACTGATGAAAGGAAGTCCTTACATCAGCATTAATACTCAGAATGACTTTCCCCCTCTTCTGCCAGAGTTCTCTATAAATAACTACCCAGTCTTTGTGGTGCTTAACTTCACGTCTCCTATTTCTTTAAGGAAACAGAAGGATGATGTGCAGCTTTTTCCTGTGTGATCTTAAGTTTTTCTTTTACAGCTGCTTTAAGTACTAATTAAATATGCATGTTTACACGTCTTCTAGGCCACAATGTGCTTACCTTCATGTCATCCCTGAAATTGTCTAAGATGTTGCCTCCTTTGTTTCCCAGCTCCTTTCTTTTTCCTTTTGGATGATTTAGAAAAATCAGCTGAAAGTTTTCTTCCCTTTTAGTGTAAATGCTGTGTGTACCTCTAAACTGAACAAGAAGCCTATACTGAATTTTTTTTCTTGTTCTTGCTAGTCATGAATAGCGCTGAAGTACCACAGAGCCCTTTGTAAAGACGCAAGCTAATCATGAATACAGTTACTTATTTTTTAAAATGCATTGATCTCATCATAGAATAACTTGAGTTAATTTAATAAATTATTCGGATGCATTGGCTTTTTATATAATAGCGAAACTTTAATCCAGTTTAATCCTATTGTAGTGACATATAAACATTTAAAGACTGACTTTCAGGTCAAAGAGAACTGTCCATACTTGACTCATTCTTGATTGAGAAAGGGATATGGGGAAAGAGTAGTGTTTCCTCTCTCCACCTCTAGTCGTGGTGGTTACTGAGGTTCCTAGACACCCCTTTCATTACTGTAGAGAACCCACTATATGGAGTTTTTCTTCTTCATGTATGTGTGTAATTTACCAGCACATGATCAGGTGCTTGAAAGTAATTCTGTTTGTGTATTTAATCTGAATGTTCTTTTTTCACCGCCGTCTCTACAGTAAAGCTAACAGTCTCCCCTGGATTTCTGTTCTGTCTTTTAAGGAATAAGTCAGCAGCCTGACCCAGGCTTCACTGGGGCCACAGCCCCCCAGAGCCCTCTGATGTCGCCCAGAATGGCACACACCCAGAGCCCCATGATGCAGCCGTCCCAGGCTAACCCGGCCTACCAGGCCTCCTCGGACATGAACGGGTGGGCGCAGGGCAGCATGGGTGGAAGCAGGTACGCCGCTGTTCTGTGTCTTTCTGGTAGAAATGATCACTAGGGAATCTCTACAGACCACCTGTCTCTCTTCTGTATTTTCCCTCTTTGCTCAAGCGAGCAATACCAAGTAAACTGCTGAGCAAGCCAGTTTACTTTTCCTAGGGCAGAAGTTACCAGAATTTATAAAACCTTGGCACAATATTTTATTCCATGGGGGTAAAAGGAACTCTCCCTTAAGAAGGTAGCACCCCCACCAGTTTATGACGGCAACTGCTGTGGGAGGTGGGGGCCTAGGAGCTGCCCTCCATCAGTACGTGTAACAAAAAGCAGACTTGAAAGTGGGAGACATCCTTCCAGACCTTCACGGTGATGTTAGGAGCAGGCGAAGGGTGTGAGGGCCCTACAGCTTCACTGAGCACCCCCCCCCCCACTGCCCATCCCACCCTGGGTTCCTTCAGCCTGAGAAACAGGTGCTCAGCACTGCCTGCCTGGTGGCCCTGGGGCTCTAACATTTTAATCTTCACTGTGTTCCCAGCATGTTTTCGCAACAGTCCCCTCCCCACTTTGGACAGCAAGCGAACACCAGCATGTACAATAACAACATGAACATCAACGTGTCCATGGCGACCAACACGGGTGGCATGAGCAGCATGAACCAGATGACAGGGCAGATCAGCATGACCTCAGTGACCTCCGTGCCTACGTCGGGGCTGTCCTCCATGGGTCCCGAGCAGGTGAGCCCCCAAGCAGAAGCTGTCCTTGGTCTTCCGATTGTAACTTTTTGTCTATTTCTGCATGGAATGGATCTTTCCGTGTGTTTAACATCTGCCATCAACTCCCACATTTATTTTGAAGAGTGTTTTTTCACCTTACTTGTGTTGGTGTGATTAACAGAAATACTTGTCAATGATGAAATAAACATGAAAGGATCCCTGACTGCTCAAAAAACTTCTAAATATTTAATTTTGTCATTTAAATTTTTCTCTCACTTGAGGGTTTTAGCAGTATCTAAGATGACTCAAAAATGGGATAGTGAAATGTGCTTTTTTAAAAAGTTTTATTTTGGATTTTTTGTGTAAGAACTTTTTTTTTAAACGTAAGACCAGATGAAAAGCAAAGGCCAAACTACCTGCCATCCAATTAGCTTTATTAAAGGTGATGGTTTACCTGTGCAGGGAGACTGACACAATATCCCAGAACCATTCTTTATTAACTTTGGATTGTGGATGCTATGGGGTTTTTTTTTCCCCAGTCCTTTTTTTTTTTTTTTTTTAATAATTGTGTTTTGTGTTGAATAATATTGAATGATTCTGCCATCTGTAAGTACATGCCAGCTTCACTGGGGGTGGCAGAGAGACTCAAAACACTTGATAGCTCAGCCTAGAATTCAGAAATTGTGATGGGCTGATCCAGAGGTGCAGATACTGGTTAATTTTTTTTTTAACTGTATTAAAGATCTTATTTTTAAAGGGCACAAAATGCTTGGCATTCTGCTTCCTCAGTAGTTCATGCAAAGTACTGACCTGGCAGAGGCTGTGAATCGTATTTCAAATTTAGAGAAATTGAGGCTTGGAAAGTTTAAACAACTTAACCAGTAAGTCATTGACAGCACCGTAAATTTCTGTTAGGTCGTGATTGTGATAATGGCAAAAGAGTGAAAGTTTAATGAGGTCTATTTAATCCTGATGTTGGTAAACCACAATTTGCGTGAAAATTTACTAAATTTTGCAATGCCTCAGTGTTTTATTCTATAAAAAGATGATTGAGAAAAATGCATAGTCAGGGGGAGAGTATAGCTCAGTGGAAGAGTATAGGCTTAGCATGCACGGGGTCCTGGGTTCTATCCCCAGTACCTCTGTTAAATAAATTAATTAAATAAACTTAATTACCTCCAAAAAGAATAATTTTTTTAAATGCGCAGTGATGCATGAGGAAATTTAAAGCCCTTTGCAATTTAAGGAGTCTATGCATGTGTGTAATAATTTGTACTTCTCTTGTTGAATTGACGGTGGCTAAATACTTGTTTAAATTAAACAAAAACTGAAGAAACAGACCTTCATCTTTTCAGTGGAGAGAATACAGTATGGACATTGAATTTCCCACAAAAACGGGCCACTGGTAGTTTCCGGTTTGCTAGTAGGGAAAGTGTCATTTGTAAAAGAAATATCCAAATATTAATGAATAGTTCACTTGGAGAAGATTCACAAGATCCTGCCTGGTTTTGGGTATTCACACCTGCTCTTGCTAATCAGTAACTTGCCTAAAGTAACAGGTATCTGGAGTCATTAGTCTAATTTGCACTCAAAAAGGTGAACATGTTAAGGCGTAAGAATGTTTCTAACATCATCTCTGTTGAATTTCTGTACAGAATGCAAATCAGATTTCATTTTGAAGGCATCTAGTGTATTATAAGTATTTTCACGTTCCTCCCCTCTCCCTCCAAAATATGCACATGGGAGAGTAGATAAGGGATGTAGCCATTTTCCCACAGTACTTTTTCCCCATAATTCTACTGAAAACAGAGGTGGTCAGGGGTTGGTTGGTTCCGAGTACGCTCCCAGGTGTTGCACCTAATAAAGCCACTGTCCTGCCCTGTCGCCCTCAGGTTAACGATCCTGCTCTGAGGGGAGGCAGCCTTTTCCCAAACCAGCTGCCCGGGATGGACATGATTAAGCAGGAGGGAGACGCATCACGGGTAAGAAACACCAGAGACATAAATACCAGAATATGGTAGCAAAGTGGATGTGAACGTCTCATAGACCAAAATTGGCGCCGATATGTTGTCAGCCTGTAGATTGAAAAGAGTTGCAAACTACGAGTTTTTTTTTTTTTAGTATTTTCTCATTTTATCTGGCATGCAGTGGTTTTTCTGTGAATAATAATTTCTTTAATAAGCTCTTGAGCTGATGGTGGTGTAGGAATTAACACTAATTTTGCCCTGGTATTAAACTATTCTAGAGCAAAGCAAAAAGAAAGTAGCAAAGAATTAATCATGTTAGGTCACTTTGGTTTATTTTTGCATTTTCTGAATCATGTTTGATTTTCAGTAGGATGAAGAGGCTCTAACTTATAATTGCTCTCTCTCCTTTAATTAAGTTTTGTCTAAGAGTTTTTCTGTATTTCATTTTATTTAGGCAAGAATCTTGTAAACATTATTTGCTTATTACCTTAAACACTTGTTCTAAGAAGACTGATACTATGTTCAACCAAACCTTGAAACAATAGAATAGTCAGTACCTAGAACCCAGCTAAGCTGTGAGCCTGGCAGCAGACCTGTTACAGAGAAGGCTCTGAGCAACTTGGCTCCCGGGTGGAGGGGGCTGTGGGGCCCTCTTAAGGCAGGGGTATAATCCCTAGCAGTAGACAGCTCTTCTAAAGTAAAAGTTCTCTCTCGATGGAGAAAATGTAGGGTCGATGTTGAATTTCCTACCAAAAAAAAAAGTGGATCGTGGGTCATTTTATTTGTATTAGCATTCATGTTTAAAAAGTAATAGCATAATGACTGAAAAATTGTGCTGAACACTGGAATTTGACACAACATTGTAAAATGATTATAAATCAATAAAAAAGTTAAAAAAAAAAAGAAAAAAATACTGAGCAATGGTTTCCAGTGAAAAAAAAAAAGTAATAGCATAAATTGGATCCAGATTTTTACCACATAGTGTGTGGATTTTTCTCAGCGTGGTTTGCCTTGTTTGAAGCAGCACAGACTCGCGTGGCTGTGGGTGGGGTCCTGTGGATGTCTCCTGTACGTGAAGACAGAGTGAGCACTTCATCTGCACGGTTAACGTACTGATCCAGTGAGCCTAACTGAAAATGGCATACATTTTATACTGACCATGTGTTTAGACTCCAAATGTGCCATCGATTGAGGTCTGAAGCCCCCTTGAGGACCAGCATCTTCCCCACCGCCAGTCCTGTCCGCCCCTCCATGGCACCCACACGGGCAGTGGCCACCAGACTCAGTGATGGCTCGTGTGCACAGAGCAGAGGCTGGAAACCTGGGGTGCACTTCCCAGAGGAACGATGTGGTTTATGGGCTCCCACGGGGGACGGCTCATTTTAACCCAAAAGTGCTGGGCACCTAACCTCTGAGTGTCTCTGTGGGGGCAAAAAATGGATTTAGGGGGCCAAGCTCACATTTCCCACTTCGGATGCCCGTGTGCTGGCCGGAGCTCTGGGGAAGCGCCTGGCGGGAGAGGCCCTCGGAAGCACTGCCCGGGCCAGGCCAGCAGCCCAGCCTTCACTCCTGTCTCCTCAGAGCCCCAGAAAGTAACTCACCTTGTGTCCTTTCTTCTGCTGCCACTTACCTCCAAGAAGGGAAGTAAAGACACACAGGTGGCCCATCGCCTGCCTTTTATTTATTTTTTCCTGACTGACCATTTATTTTTTAATTATTTATTGTATTATTTTATTACTGTTATTTTTGGCAGGTGGGAGGTGATTCAATTTTATTATTTATTTTTAGATGGGGCATTGGAGTTTGAACCCAGGACCTTGTGCATGCTAAGCACGTGCTCTATCACTTGAGCAATACCCTCCCCACTTCATCTGCCTTTTAAACAGTTACAGAAACAACCAGCCTGTGTTGAGCATGAACCACAGGCCTGATTCTTTGCCAAGAGCTGTATGTGGAGGACCTCATTTAAACCACACCCCAGCCGCATCCTAGGACCACTGTTTTTGAGGGTTTAATGACTTGCCCAAGGTCCCGCCGCCCCAGGAAGGAAATCCAGGCAGGACGAGCCCTGAATGTGCACTCTTAGTGCCCCCAGCGCACTGCTGCCCACATCCCCGACGGGAGCCCAGGGCTCTCGGGAGACTTTTTCAAAGGGTTTTATGCAGGTAACACTGGAAAAGGCCACAAAGGAACAAGTGACTGCCTTCTCTGGTGTCTTATGATCTCTCTGTATAGATCATAAAGGGAAGAAAAGAGACACTCGTGTATCCTCTGGGACAGGCAGTGACGCCCGAGCTCCCTGTTGAGTAGAGTCCTCCCTCAGGCACGGGTGCCCCATCTCAGCACGGAGGAACCCTCACAAGTTAGGACAGGGCACCACCTTTCATACTCTGATGCACCAGGGACCTAAGCATTTAGGCCTCCCCTACATTTTTAGATGAGAGACCGAACCTGTGACTCACCCCAGGTCAAACAGCTAATCGTGGCGGAATATGCTGGAGGCGAGAAGGGGGGCTGCCCTGAGCAGCACCACAGAGGGGCACAGACCTTCCAAGTTGGCTGGACTGATCGGCACAGGGCAGGGGCAGAGATGTGGGCAAGGTGGGTCAGCAGAACCAGGTGTTCACTGCACACATACCCGAGTGCTGACGGGTGCCTGGGAACCTGACCTGGAAAGATTAGCGTTAGGATCACAAAAAGCAACTTGCAGTAGCATATAGAGTGTTTTCTCCATCCAAAGTGCCTTTCGGGATCTGTGGTGAGAATTCTGTTACCCCTAGCCCGGGCCATTTATACCTCTCCCTGTTTTTTCTAGTCCCCCGCCTGCATCTGGCTCTTCTGTACTTACTCATGCTGAATGTTAAGGCTAGAGAAAGTCCGTCTCAGGCTAGAGAAAGTCCGTCTCAGACACTCGTTCCTTCAGAGAATGATCTGTATGGTGTATCCCTTCGAATCCATGGGTAATAACTGGAAATCACTCTGCATCTGTCACCGTCCCACTGACGTGTGCACGGAGAGGGGTTCATCGTCTTCGTCTTCTGTGTCTCTGCCATGTACTCTGCTGCTGTGAATCAAGGAACTCTTTTCAGAATTTTTATTGGCAATCAGGTTCTCTTTGAACTAAAAACCACTGTGATCCATTACTAATTGAATCTGTGTTCCATTTATCTTGAAATGGAGATTAAAATTGTATCTTGCTTTAAGCAGAGCTAGAATATACAACCAGGGATTTACTAAAAACTAGAGAAGGGTAGATATTTTACTTAACCTGAAGTTTCTTCCTTTTACAAGGACTTAGTAGCCTTTGTGTTTTAAATATATTTAAATATATGAAAATTGAGTTTACTGCTCAGCCACATGGCTCTTGTATAAAGTATAGTTGTAATTACTTCTATTTACCAGCGTCTTAGAAATTGAACGCTAAGTAGAATCGGCTTTGAGTTGATGATGATGACGACAGTGACATTTACTGAGCGCTTATTCTGCCCCCGGAACTACTTGAGTGGTTTTGTTTAATGCCCGCAACAGCCCTAAGGTGTCAGCTACAGAAAGATTAAGTGACTGGCTGCCAGTGTGTGTGGATGTCAGTCACAGGAAGAATACTGCCTTGGAGTTTCCACAGACATTTCTGCATCTCAATAGGTTTTTTTCCAGACTAACTGGAAAACTGAGGAGCTTTTTTTATATTTCAACCAGAGCTGTGGGGTGTTTCCATATAAAATCATATAAGGGACGACAAACTAGGAACAAATACATTACTCAACTTTACGTTACAGGGGAAAGCACATTAAGTTTTCTTCTCTAGGAGGAAATGTAATCAGGTTTCTTAAGCTTGGGAGAGCTGTGCACCTGACCAGGAATGTGATTCCACCTGGGACCACTAACTGTGATCTGGCAAGTTTCCCCAGATTCTCTCTCAGGGCGCTTTGGTGAAATGGATTACTTGGGGCTTACTTCCTCTCTCATCTTCCTTAAACTAGAAAATCTCTAATGGCCCTGATTCGCTAGAATTCTGTGTCTGAATATCTAAATCCCAGGTGCAATCGTATTATGTTCCTGCAGCAACCAGTACTTTTCCTCGCATAACTCAGATCACAGAGTTACTTGTCTGCCTGGCCTGTTCAGGACCGTTTTGATAGCAGTGACTGGAAATATCTTAGTACAGTTTCTATTCCCAGCATCCGGCACAGAGTTAATATTGATTATTAATATTTGCTCAGTGAATGACTCTTGAGGGGGGGATAGCCAATAGCCAGAGAAAAGCATGGGCAGATCTACCTACACCAACCGAGGAAGCACCTCCCTGTGACTCTCGCTTGTGTGGTCATTCAGATCGTTGGCATCAGCAGTCAGAAGCTGGCAGTAGTACCCTAAAGTCAGAACCCCGGGCTTCTCCGCTTGCTGAAGCCAGCGAGCACACACCCCACGGTGCATGGGAGTGTGGCAGTGAGGGAGCGTCGGGAGGGGACGTTTTACAGGGAAGTGGGTTTGCACTGGATGATTTTGAGGAAGGACTGGGAAAACAGTGACCGCTTCTGGATTGGATGCTGTCAAAGAGCAAAGGCAATTCAGCAACTGGGTATCTTGGGGGTTGTGGTAATCTCTGTTACGTGATCACCAGTACAGGAGTGGCAGTCACTCCGAAGAGTTGATCTGTGAGCCGTTGCAGTCTGGGGCCTTCAGAGTAGCGCGAAGGATCTCCTGGCCTTGGGCACCGTTCTCTGTGTTCAGTTAGGAGCAGTGCCATCTGCTCATCTGCATCAAAATCAAGTGTACTTCATCGGGATGCAGCTCTGCGACTGGCGTTACTTAAAACGGCCATGTGTTCTACTGTTTTTGTGATGGGCTTTATGATGGTTTTACCAAAAGTTCGGAGACACTACACCACTTCCTCTTTGTTTCCTGCAGAAATACTGCTGACACGGAAGGGAGCTGGTTGCCTCTTTCTTCAGCTGATTGGGCTCACGTGCTCAAAACGCTTACCAGTCTGGAGAGCTGCGTCTATTTGTTTTGACCCAACCGACCTGCCATCCAGTCCTGCCAGAGCGAGAGGGGCCAACGGCCTGGGCCCTGGCCGCAGGGTGGACCCCCGGCTGCTGCGGGAGGAGCGGCCTTGTGTGCTGACGGCCTGCAGCCCACGCCCGGACAGTCGCTCCGTCTGTTCACTGCATTCACCTTAGTGCAACTTAGATCTCTCCTGCCAAGTACATGTTGACAGGCAAACTCCATACCCGTGTCAGATTGAATGTATCTAAATGTATGTGTTTAAGGAAAACACCCACGCTCTTGTTCTATTCCTGTCTTGTTCCAGATACTGGTTTCTTGCTTTGTTTCCCCTGGCTAACCAGTCCAGTACAAAAGATTAAAATTCCATCTGGGGGAAGGAAACAAATTAAAAAAAAAAAATCAAACAAAAAGTGTTTTAAGCTAAGCCTGCCTTTGGGATGAAAGCGGGGCAGACGCACAGACCGCGCTGTGGGTACAGAGACAGCGCCACGCAAAGACCATAGATGTATCTTTGTGAAGGCTCTCGAGACCCTGTTGGAAAGAGCTTCCAGTTACTGAACAGATGAAAAGGAGCCTGTGGGAGGGCTGTTAATATAAACAAGTACTTTCCCCCGCCTTTTTTTTTTCTTTTGTTCAAACCAAGTGAACTCACCCAAATCATGAATCGAGAAGAGATACTTTTCATTTCCAAATTCAGTTCCCTTTAGATTGATCAGACAGCTCGAATCAGCCCCTCCTCTTCCATCTGATCCCACCTCTGCCCTTCCCCAGTTCTCCCCGCTTTCATTCTTTTTTTTTAAATAAAAGCAACAGAAACCAGGTAATCCCATTATTTCCTGACATGTTTTGCCAGCCCCTTACCAATTGCTCACTATTAAATTTCAGAAAAATGTATTTACTGGCAAGGAGAGGAGCAGAGTTAGGACTTGATACCCAGCACACCGGGGACACCTGCTTTGGAGGCATGTTATTCGATTCCCCAGCAACACTGGCCTACAAAACGGGAGGAGATAATAGTGTGCTTCAAATTGACAGCAGATATCACGACAGATTTAACCTCCACCATGTGTTTTTTATTTTGTTTTTTAGCAGTGCTGACTAAGCCGAAGTTTTGTAAGGTACATAAAATCCAATTTATATGTAAACAAGCAATAATTTAAGTTGAGAACTTAAGTGTTTTAATTGTATCATTTTTGTGAGGTATACATATTGTGGAATTGACTCAAAAATGAGGTACTTCAGTATTAAAATTAGGTATCTTCATAGCAACGTCTCCTAAAGGTGTTTTGTAAAGGATCTCAATGCCTTGATTAGACCTAATTTGTAGACTTAAGACTTTTTATTTTCTAAACCTTGTGATTCTGCTCATAAATCATTTATCTAATTAATCTATATGATATGCAGCCGCTGTAGGAACCGATTCTTGATTTTTATATGTTTATATTCTTTCTTAATGAACCTTAGGAAGACTACATGTTACTAAAAAGCAGGCCACTTTTACGGTGGTTTTTCTTGCCCATTCTGGTAGGGGAATAATCTTTTCTTAATTGGCATCAGTTTCAGACAGCTGGAATACCAAGAAACTGGTGACCTTTTTTGAGCTATGTCTCCCCAACTCCTGATACACATACTTTCTTACCTAAATTTCAGAGTGATGTCTTTTTGATGTCCAAAAAGCAAAGCTTTTTATATCTCATTAGCCAGGCTTTTTAGGAACAGAGAGGTTTTTCCTTGAACTTTGATGATTTTGTGGCAGGGTGGAAACCATACCGACTAGCCCTGTTTGTATTTCTCTCTCTCTGTGTGTCCAGACTGTGGAAGGATAGAAACAGACAGCGCCCAAAGATAAACGGGAAGGAGACAGTCTGAAAGTGTTGCTCCACACTAAAGACATTTTCTGGAAATTTGCATTTCGATACTTTTTTCCACTTGAGGGGGGTCTCGCTACAGGGAAGTGGCCAAGGAACAGCACTTCTCAGGGGCCACCAGTTCACATGTCCCCCTTGAAAGGCTCTACTTTTCTCAACCAGAGACCATTGGGTTGCCCAACCGTGATGGGAAGAAACAAGCAGATGTCGGCCCAGAACTCCAATCCTCGTTGGTGCGATGGGCTGATGATCCACGCCATTTAATGTGACCAGTTTCAAGTTTTTAGAAACATGTGAATTAGAAAGACTTTAATGTCACACAGCACAAAAGAGAAAGGGAGTTTAAACTGGATTTGTTTGTTTGTTTTGAGTTTTAAGTCCCTTTTCACTGTCACACTGTCCCCAAATATCTGTGTACCTTTTTTATTGTTTCTCCACCCGCCCACTGTGTTTTCATGTCAGTCCCAATTTGGACAAATCTGCAAACCTGGGATACTGGTATTCAGAATAATTCATAGTCATTACTGTTTTGAAGGAAGAGAGATTGTCAGTTCTCTTATGGCTCAGAGTAGGTAATAGGGATTTTGCTTTATATCCAATTAAGAGTCAGTGACGGACTCCTGGCCATACTGATCCCTGTAGAAGCAAAAGCCAAATGGACCGCTCATTATCAGTATTTCTCACACTGAACACAATAAACTTGTTAGACTGAGTACTTGGTTTTTGTTTAACAGAACAAATAATCAGTTTTACTTATATTAATAAATGTGAAAAACACATAATGTGAAAAGTATACATTCATTAACTTGGTTGTAAAACTCATTTAAGTGTTCATGTAACGTGGTAAGTTTAAAAAGTGACGTGAGCTGTTTTCCCTGCGATGAATTTGTTTGACTCGAAGATTCAAAACGCCCCCTCCCACGTGTATCTCTTACGGCCTGTACCAACTGAAAGCAATGTTTTTGCAGTTTATATAATGCGGTTTTTAATCTGTGTTTAAAAATGGAGTTCATATGGGCTTAACACATGAAATGAGTGGCACAGACCCACTTGCAGAACCCAAAGATACACAATCAATTTTGAAATGCAACTTAAGCCATTAATTGTTGGTGTGAATTTAAAATTTTCTAGTATTTGTATGGTAGTATGCTGCCTAGGAGCAAAGCATTCTCTGCACAAAAGAAAATTACTGTAGCGGCTTCGATTTTCATTAGAATTTTCTCCCTGGTGTTTCTTTATAGACTAAAACAAAATCTTTTAAGTTTCTTACTACAGGTAAAAGCTATGTGCAAGAACCTCAAAATGCTAAAATCTAGCATAATGCCTTAGATCTGTTTTTAAGTCTTGTATATTCCTACATAGCTGTCCGATGTATTATATTTGTATAGTGAATTGTGTACAATTTTTTGAATAAGTGCATCATCACTTAACCTTTATGTTGTTGAACAGTGATGATGAGGCATTTCTTCAAACATTTAACTGTCATTTTTTTTTCTTATGCCATTTGTGGGTTTTATTTGTACAGTTCCTCATGAAGTTGCATCTGAGATGTGTGTATATGAAAAGATTATACAAGGGTAAAATTAAGCAATATATTACCTATGGTTCTTCAGGAGAAAGCTTACAGTGTTTCAGGTTGTGATTTATTTTCAAAATGGAGTTGACTCCGGACATCACTTTGTTCAGCTGCATTGATGTTTGTATTTCTAGTGTGAGCAGTTTATGCAAAGGTAGATATATTCAGAGAAATTTTAAATACATTTATGCAAGTTAATATTGCTTTGCTGATGCTATTTGCTTATTTGATGTTAAATAATGCTATTGTAAATAAAGAATTCTGTTGTTATTGCATCATTTAATAAATTTTAATGCCTTCGGGTTTTACATGGCTTTGGAGATTTTCATGTGTTTATATTGTGTCTTCATTCATAATTGCAGTTAAATATAAAATTACCTGACTTATAATTTTATAAGTTTTCTTTTTTATGGAGGTACTGGGGATTGAACCTGGGACCTCTTGGCATGCTGCACGTGCATGCTACCACTGAGCTATACCCACCCCCCCTTAATAATTTCTTACATTTATACAATAGTAGATACTGTTCCTAGCACATTAACATTTATTCTCCCAATGGCCCATTTTCTAGGTTTTCAGTTTGAAGCCAAGAGGGGTATGTCTGCTTAAGATTACCGAACAGCTTATTGGCAAATACAGGTCGAATGTAGGGCCACTGAGTCCTAATGGTGTTACCACCTCCAGACACTTCTTCAAAACACACTTAACGAGAATCACATGGACTTCTGACTGACCTATGAAAGTTATACTTAACACATTAGAACAATCATAATGGTTCTGATAGATTGACTTAATGCTTGATAGACAAGGCAAGTACAATACTTAAAACCCGGGTCATTAACTACATGAATCATTATAATGAATACAATCTGGAATTGTATTTTTTAAATATATGAAAAACAAAATAAGTGATTAGAAAATCCTATCTAGCCTATTAACTATGCTAGCAAATTAGAGGACAGGAAAATGATTAACTTAATAGATGCCATTTGATAAATGTGCATAGGATCAATTTCAGCCCCCGTTCATGAGAAAACCTCAAGGAAAAATAAAACCTCTAGGCAAAGTAAAGTTTCTAAAGTTATTTAAAGTTATCTGATAGAATCCCACTGTGATACGTCCACTTCGTGGTGAAATATTAAAAAGATTAAAGTCAGACAAAATAAGGAGGCCCACTCCACTATCCATGCTGGTGGAATACAAGAGGTAGAATATTCCAGCCAATCTGACCATCTATAGAGAAAGCCCCAGTGAATCTACTGACCAGCTCTTGGAGTGAGTCAAAAAGCTCAGATGGTTAGAATATACAAACATCAACAACTTCTGTTCACACTAGTAACCAATTAGTTCCAAGACAGGAGTGAGGCCTCTGGGGTCCCAGGCCACCCACTACCCCGTCCTGAGCGGGGCCTTGGGAACACCCTGTGTTGGCAATACGGAGGCCCGAGCCCGTCTCACAGCCCAGGTGCTGGGTCCTCTGTGGGCCCCACACTCCTGGCATCGCACCCCACATTCTGCAGGTCCATCCTGCAGTGTCCTTCCTGCCACAGGAGCAGAGACCACCCGGCAAGCAGCCCCCTCCCCAAATCAGCACACAGAGTGAGTGGGAGCAGGGACACCAGAGGAATTTCACTCAGACACCAGCGTCCCAGGGGTGCCAGCAAGGACACAGACAAGGCAGAGCCCAAGAGATGGGACCAGAGGGCCCCCCTGGGCGGCTGGTTGGGTCCTGGCTCACCTGTCCCTCATACACCTCTCTCTAAATGCTGCTTGTTCAGATGCAAACAGGCAGAGCTTCAGACTGAGAGTCAGCTCCACCCGAATGCCCTGTTGGCAAACACTGCAGGAGTCCACTCAAGTGCAGGCCCTGGAGTTGACAACTTACAGACCAAAGTGGCCGTCGGGGCCGGGGCTGCAGGAGAGGGTGGGAAGTGAGTGAGACTCTCATGCTTGTGGGATTTTGATTTTACGTGATGAATATTTCCAGGGATGGTGGCGACAGCTCCATGACAAGGTGAATGTACCTAACGCCTCAGAAACATGCACTTCAAATGGTGACGATGGTAAATGGTGTGTGACGTGTTTTATTTCACTTAAAATAATCTTTTTAAATGGATGTCCTTTAAACATTAAGACACCATAAACCTCCTAGAAGAGAACATAGGCAAACTCTCTAAATTGTAACAATGTTCTAGATCAGTCTACCCAGGCAATAGAAATAAAAGCAAAAATAAACGAATCAGATCTACTTAAACTCAAAAGCTTTTGCACAGCAAACTATAAACAATAAAAGACAACCTACAGAATAGGAGAAACATTTGCAAACAATGCAACTGACAAGGGCTTCATTTCCAGAATATACAAACAGCTCATACAACTCAGTAACAGAAAACAACCAACCCAATCAAAAACTAGGCAGAAGACCTGAATAAACATCCCTCCAATGAAGACATATAGGTGGCCGATAGGCACAGGAAAAAATGCTCAGTATCACTAATTACCAGAGAAATGCAAATCAAAACTACAAGATCACCTCACAACAGTCAAAATGGCCATAATTAGAAAGTCCACAAAAGATAAATGCTGGAGAGGGTGTATGAGAAAAGCGAACCCTCCTACACTGTCAGTCGGAATGTAGTTTGGTGCAGCCACTATGGAAAACAGTACTAAGATTCCTCAAAAAACTACAAATAGACTTACCCTGTGACCCATCATCAATCCCACTCCTGGTTATATATCTGGAAGAAACTAATTCAAAAAGATAAATGCACCCCAATGTTTGTAACAGCACTATTTACAATAGTCAAGATATGGAAGCTACCTAAATGCCCATTGACAAATAAATGCCTGGATAAAGAAGTTGTACGTGCGTGCGCATGCGCGCACGCGCACGCACACACACACACACACACACACACACACACACACACACACACAATGGAATACTACTCAGCCATAAAAAAGAATAAACTATGCTCAATATTTTATAACCTTTAATGGAAAAACTATGAAAACAAATATATGTATGTCTATATAAGAATGGGACTTTGTGCTGTACACCAGAAATTGATACACTGTAATTGACTGTACTTCTATTAAAAATAAATAAATAAATAAAATAATGCCATTTGCAACAACATGGATGGACCTGGAGATCATCATTCTAAGTGAAGTAAGCCAGATAGAAAGAAAAATACCTGATATCACTGATATGTGGAATCTAAAAAAGGATGAACTTATTTACAGAACAGAAACAGACTCACAGACATAGAAAACTTATGGTTATGGGGGTGGGGAGGGGGGCAAGGGATAAATTGGGAGTTTGAGATTTGCAGATACTAACATATATAAAATAGATAAATAAGTTCATACTGTATAGCACAGAGAACTATATTCAATATCTTGTAATAGCCTACAATGAAAAAAATAGGAAAAGGAATATATATATGTGTGTATAACCAAATCATTATGCTGCACATCAGAAACTAACACAATGTTGTAAACTGACTATACCTCAATTGAAAATTTTTTTAAAAAGCAATGTCTTATTGAGATTCCAATTTGACTCCCTTTATTACAAATGTTTGACACCCTAGCACTGTCCCCCACCTTGGGGGCCATATCACACCCTCACACGGGGGACCATTCTTAGGGAGACTTGTCTGTGTGCTACCTGAGCTCTGTCCAGGGGAACCCAGACAGCAGTGACCCCCACGGATTAGATATGATACGTGATATGATACCACCAAGGGTTATCTGTCACTCAGGAGAACATGGAGCAGCAACCCGCTCACAGGTGCTTGTTCTCTTATGAACGTGACAAGATTAAAAGAAGAAAAGGGACCTCGGGTTAATCAGGGCAACACCCTCAGTTCAGATGTTGGGAATCTCAGAGAAGACGAGACACACTGCAGGCAAAGAGCAGATATGGGGCTTCCTCCTGCACCTGAGTCTGACCCATACAGGTGGGGTGAGACCCCACCTCCCCAGACCCTGCACCCAGGGTCACAGGTCCCCTTGGTCAGGACACCGTGGCTGTGCTAGGTGGGGCCCCAGCATGGGAACAAGCTGGGTCCCTGGGACCTCCTGGGACTGCAGAAAAAAGTATAGGATCGGTCCCCTGCTGGTTTCACTTTGGTTTTGCACGACTAATTGTTTTTGACACTTAGGGGCTAAAGTTAAACACACTACCTTGGTTCTGGGTGCTCGGCCCTTTCCTTTCTCACTGAGGTGTTGAGAAAACTCACGGGACAGCAGGGCTGAAAGAGGACGGGCAGGTCCGGACTCCGCCACGCAGGGATGGCCGACCGGAAGAAGATCACGGCGGCCGCCTCACCTGCTGCCCATCGACCCCGCACCCAGCCCCGCGCGCCCAGCAATCAAGTCACCAGGGAAGCCTGCCTCCCTACTCGCTGTGTGCGTGCTGGTGAATTGAAGTAATTACCAGGCAGCCCACCTGAGTCTCCACGAGCCCAGAAAAGGTGAACCCGGTAGGAATCTAGGGACTAAGGCCCTTACCACAGCACCGACCCCTGGGAGGACCACGTAGCCAAACTCAGAACAGAGTGCCATCTCCTGGAAAGCTGGCCTCAGCTCCAGACCCCAGACACCTAAGCACGGACATTCGAGTGCAGGACAGGCCTTCCCAGTACTGAAGCTAGTCCATGTCCTAGGCTGAGCAGAACACAATGTTCTCAGTGCAGACGACACACAGGTCTAAATGAACTTGGTGTAAGACAGGTGCTAAGGTCTAAATTTCCCACGACAGACAAAATATGTTAAGGTCCAAACGTCCCTAAGTCAAGGTTCACGGATGGGTAACTGGTCTTGTGGGTGCCGGGAATACTTCAGCGAAGGTTTTCATCGGGGACCAACAGAGCATAAACGCCACGTGATCCTAATAATTATTAAATAGTAACTTTGAGCTAGAAAGGCCTTGAGGACAGAGAAGTGATTGACTGCCCAGTACGGTCCTGGGTAGGGTCAACATAAGGACAGGAGGAGCTGTCCAGGCCCAGGACGGCGTCAGTGATGGTGACAGCCTTACCAGAGGGCAGGCAGATCTGGAGAAGGTGCCACAGAGTCAGGGCCACAGGTCATGTGGTGGGACAGGCCTTGCTCGTCCAGCTAGACAGGGTCCATGGCCCTGAGAAGTGACCTCACGCTTGTTCCCAGGGACCCCACTGTGTCTAGGGTCATGTCCTGCTGCTTCGGGAACCAGACGACTCGGACCTCTGCATGACCTCTGCGTGACCTCTGTAGGCTGGCTTGAGCTGAGTGTATTGTTTCCAGAGCCTCAGGCAGGATTCGAACTCAGGGC